TAATCGAAGCAAAAACGACTTAGCATTGTAACAATTACGGCAGGGAATGGTGTGGGCAATGTTGTAAATTATGCTATCTTTTCTGAAGTTCCCGGAATTTCAAAGAACATAAGCAGCAGATACGTGTGGCTGTCTGCCGGGAATTTTCGTATTCAAAATTGATTGTAAGAGCAGCAAACGGAATTTGGACTGCCAGACTTCGAAGCCATTAAACGCTGGAATTGGATCCACCGTATCCTGGAAAGTGTGGCCGAGGAAGGGCAGCTACACTGAACCCGACGAAGCAATGTCCTCAGAAAGAGAGGGCTGAAATCTAGCCAGCGACACGGCAGAGGAGGGTGTGATCTATAGCAGGATATAACTAGGCATTATGTTGTTGGTGAGACAAACAGATAGAACCACGCCCATTTATCAGAAGCTCCTGACCAATTCTCCTTCAAAGTAACGCCATTTTATTGAAAGTGAGTCTAATTACGCCAATGAATGACAGTATCGGTTACCCCACACTTTATTTAGCTCTTCATTTTGTTGATCTCATCATCTGCGAGCTCGTTACATCACGTTTACAGATTCCTGTGAAAGGATTTCGGAAAAAAAGTCATCTCCTTGAATGAAGCTTAGATTAATTTTGTAAAAGATCAACCTATTCTTGTCATGAGTAGCTGGGGTTCTGAATCTTCATGTTCACAAAAATGTAGTTTATAATCTCGAAAACAGAATCCATCCACACTCGACTGTATCTCAAACGATGGATAAAGTGTTTTAAGAAATTCTCGCCAAACATTGTGCTGCTTCAGTCAGAAACACTAAGCTGGCATTTCACCACGCAACCTGTAAGACACGGAACATGTTCCCATGATGACTAAAGTGTACTTTAATTAAGACCCTGAATTATGAAATAAAGCAGACAAGATCAAGCATTCAATGTGTGCGCTCCCAGCTAGTTTACTTGCGTAAGACGAGCGACACGTATGTAATGCCTCTTGTCAGAGAAATGTGCAGCTTAAGTCCGAATATTGACACCAAGAAGGACCTCCGTTATTGACGAATTTATATCAAATCTGTCGACCACTTGCGCCCAAGGTGACAACTCTATTCGATTGACGACACACAAAATCAGTGCACCATGAATTTATATTTGATTTGTGGAACCGAGGGACTAAACATGTGTGTCGTGAGAAAATTTGTTACTGTTTCGTTGGAAGTCCATGCAGTGCAATGAGCCTGGAAACCTGGCTGGGAAAGAAAAAGACTCTCTGATAGCCAAGAGAGGAAGAAAGGAGTCACGATTGATGCCATTACGCAAGAAACGTGCGATTGATTGAGCGACTTTTGTGGTCTAATGGATGGAAAAAATGCTTGAAGTACTCGACAGAGAGGACCGTAAGTAACAGCCAGCCAAGGCCAAGCCGAGCGGAAATCAAGTCCTTGATTCTCGACGCGACGATACAGCGCTTCCGGGTACACAAGCTGGACAGACGAGTCGTCTGGCCGAGCGGAAAATTCACGCCATCTTCGATTTCTAGTTTTACTTTCTCTCTGCTGGGGGACATGCTGACATTCAAATTTCGTAATTGGCGTACGCTTGGGAAACGAAAGAAGTCCTTAGGTGAATTAGGACGGTAACCACTGCGGGCATTAGCGCCTAGGAAAACCTATTAAGATTCTCTCTCGAGAGAAGTGTTGCATCCAAATCGATGCGAAGCGAGAACATCGCAGGCAGCATGCACGTTAAAGGTGAAAAACATACATCTTGGAAAGTTACGGTGGTGTAGTGCACAGTAGTTACTAATGAGAGGGCGTTAAAGTGTTATTCTCCTAAAATCTGCACTGCAGTTGGCGAAAAACGAAGTACTCGATTTCAGAGGAACATTTAAATCTTTTCATCAAAATGATCCGGATGCAAGATTGCTTAGTAAGTCCTAAAGGGCTGGAAATAAGAAAAAAAGAATTCACTTGCATAAAAGTAAAGCGGACGATGTTTTTTAGAGGTTGTCTACATTTAAAATATTTGATTGGTAGATTAGGGTGAAGACAGTAAGGGATTGCTAGTTTTATACTTCATGAAGCAAAGGCACCTTCCCATGCGGGGGGGGGAATAATTGCACTGTTCTCCGTTCATTTTTGAAATGAAGTAGAACTAATTTGTCCGCTCCACTCGCTGGAAAGTTCCTTCTCTTCGCAGAGCTTCTTGAGTCTTCCAACCCAAGAAGAGTGTGACATTCTGACATGGCAAGACGAACGCGTCAATTGCTCTTCCCTGGAGACCGCAAACCTTCGGCGGCTACTGGTACAACCTTTTAAGAAGGTACACATCTTGGATCCGCAGACGGTTTGCCGTCGATTCCCCCGTGGATTCGAACTGCAAATGGCCTGCAAAGTTCAGGCTATTTTTTTTTCAATCCCGCTTCCAGGCTGTCAACTGTCACATCCGGCTCTTCTTTGACATTTGCAGCAGAAAGTATTTTGTACGAAACGTCGAAGCCACTGATCGGAGGATTCTTCCTTCACGAATGTTTTATTGGTTGAGTGCTGGACCATATTAGCGTCTCGGATTTCTCCTTTTCTCCCTAATTTAATTGCTGATACTGGACACTTGTTGACCATGAGAAAACCCTCTCACGGAATCATCGTTAAACAACTAAAACAGCGGAGGCACAGAAATGTTGCTGACCGTTCTGAGAGCGAAAAACGATCGGCGAGGCGCACTACTGTGACCACGGGGGGCCGTCCCTACTTTTTTAGGGTCAATGGCTTGCGTTTCTGGAAATCAATACACTAAAGTACACTGTTGAGTGCAATGAAGCCGCTCTGCCTTGAATTCTTTCATTTTTCTCTATTACCTACAAGAGCGGATCTAGAACCCCTTTTTCGGGGGGTGGATGGGGTAATTTCTTTTTGGGGGGTCAAAATAAATTTGGAACTTCTTTATGTAACAATCATCGCCTTTTTATTAAAATATAATACCTGGAGCAAAGAAATGGAACAGTATTTACTGTCGCACAAGCAGCACATAAATTAAAGCAAAGGTAACGAAGTCAAAAAAACACAAAAAAACCCCGAAGTTCACTACGAGAGCATGACTAATTATGGTTAGATTATTAATTATAAAGTTCATTTAATATATGAAATCCATGGCGAGCTCACCCCTGTAAGGCACACTTGCGAATGGGACAAATAACACCGATTGAGTTCCTTCCATTTCATCGTATATGGAAAGTGAACAGATCACAACACCTTCGCCGTCTAACGACGACACGCAGACGCCGTTAATTAATGCTACAGTTCAGGTTAAATTTCAACAACGTTGAATCTATGATGACCAAAGAAATAAAACAAAGCCAAAGCAAAACAAAAAAACAACAACAAAAACTCAAATCTGGCAAGAAGGCTTGTTGCGATTGTGGGAATCCTAATATTGTAATTCGCAGCTTGGATGGTGCAAACACAGGTAAGACATCGTGGTGCTTAAACTCATTAGCAAGATATTAATAGCCCGGTAGCAATTGTGTAGTGTTGTTCCTGTTTGCGTAGTAAATATAACCCACCAAATGTCAAAGAGTGTGTAACCAAACAAAACAAACACAGAATACTTTAGACAAAACCAGCTCTCACTAGCCTATTGTCATGAACTGAAACAGCAATGAATTGTTAAACTTGACAAAATTCACGACAACAAAATATCCAAAATGCTAGTGCAGGAATTGTTGTAAATTGAGATATCTGCCTTTGGTGACGTAACTTTTTTGATTATGAATATGCAAATAACATTGGCATAAAGATTTTTCAAAAAGCGTCAAAACGCCTTAAAATGCCAAAACCAATATAATGGGATACAAAGGAGGAGTTACATGAACTACTAGAAACAATTACACCGCACGGACCCTTGAAAGAGGTGTAGCGTTCCAACTTTCCTACGTGTACCCGATCAAGGCAAGCCAACAATGTACTGAGTCAGCACAATGAAAGTAATTCTATTAGTTCTGTGTTCAGCTGAAGGTGCTACATTCATTTGTTTGCCGTGATTCGAGGGATGATCAAGAACGCTCCCGAGGCGCACACCATAACGGGCGTTCATTTCACCATAGACAACTTTCTAACAAACTCAATTACCGCTTTTGACAACAGTAAGAATGTGTTTACTGTGAATGGGTCTTATCATTCCCGCAGTTTGAGATAACTTTCAAAATTATGTTCTTTTTACCGACTGGCGCTGTGTGTAATCTGCACGCGTTTCTATGATCATTTTCGCTTACAATCAACGCGGGATAAGTTTCAGAGTGAGATAGTTATTCATACCGTGCACTGCATTCGACATTAACAAATTTTAAAAAAAGGTGGTGGAGGCATCTGGTGCGCAAGTCCCGAATTCACATACTTGAATAGCAAACTGTTATTTTGTTCCATAACATATACACAATGACTGAAAGATGTTGGACCTGTAAATAGGTATGGATAAACTAGGACATGTAGGCCTATCCAGGGGAAATCATACCAAACTTCTAGCGACCTGAATCTCAAAGTTAAAGATATTTTCACCAATTTCTCATCTGAACGACTCTTGTCCCATACAGATAGGCTGCACACAAAAATCTGACCGAGTTTCCCCTTTTCTTCTATTTATCTACCAGTCAAGCCGATTCAGTGTCCTCTGTCTCCGTAGAATCCGTAGCTTAGTCAACCATTTGTAAAGTTATTTCGTACATGGATTTCTCTGCAATACTCCATCAATCATCCACTTAACCCTGGACGGTCTTCACTTTCGAAACATATCGGAGACAGTAAACTACCATGATGATGTCCAGGGCTGTTGCGAATTTATCTTTCACTTGGAAATTTGAAACGAACCGCCACCCCACACTAGATTGGTGTGATCCTGGATAGGATCAAATCCTACACGGACCTTACTAGATGGGCGATGGGTAAGAAAATGTAGCCCTGAAGCTAATTAAGGATTCTTTATAATTAACACCCCATTTTTTTTGGCAAAGCATGCTCACCTGTCAACAGCTATGACGAGAAGTGTGTTGACCGAGACGAACAAGGACGCGTTCTTCACGGTGCCGACGAAGCGGCACATGACGCTGCCGAAGGCCCAGTTATCGGTCATGTAATAGTGCAGCGTGAAGGGCGCACTGAGGAGGGCCATCAGGGCGTCCGAAACGGCCAGATTGGCAATCATGAGGTTGGTGACGGTCCGCAGGCGCTTGTGGAACAGGATGATGAAGACCAAGAGGCTGTCCCCGACGCCCGAGATGACAATGGTCAGGATGAAGGTTACGGCCAAGAAGACCTTCACCACGGGGTGAATGTAGACCGCACAGTCGGTGTCGAAATACTCTGACCCCAGGTGTCCCCAGGAAAACTCCTGTGAGTTGTTCCAATAGGCCAAGTCTGAGGTCAGGTTAGCCTGATCGTCCAACTGATTCATGGTGGCTTCTGATACCTCAATTGTCTACAACAGTTTCACTTGAAAACGATGGAGCCGAGTCCTCGACAAGATCACATTTCAGTCAAATACCACCCGCCATGTTTCGAGGCTCAATCTGAGTGATGTCCAACATGCTGACTGCCTTTCTGTAAAGACACCAATGACAAAAAATTCACTCAAGACAACAATGAAAACAACAAAGAGCCGTATAATAATGAATTCAGTGACCTTGCTGATAACTACAGCTTAAAGTAACATCTCTGAGGGAGTTGCATTTTTGACTCTCGATTCAGAACTTCATCAAAGACGCACCTTGAAAACAACAATATCCAATTGGAAATGCGATGCCTTGACTTGAGCAATCAAATCCAGCCAAATCACGCACAACCACTAGATGCTGCAGTTCGAGAGCAGTAGCGTAAACGGCAACTCACAAGTCTCTGCAAACACTCTTCCCCTGCATACTGTCGCAAGCGGGAAATGTGATTGACCGCGTGCTCCGATCGCACTCAGCCCACCCTGACATCACCGGACCGAGTGATCGTCCAATCAGCAACCACCAACGGCGTGTGAAGCGCCCCCTACAAACCTCCCCACACCCCAGCTGCCATCGAGGTCAGATGTCGCTTGCATCAGGTTGTCCGTCACGGTCCCCACTCCCCGGCGCGCCGCTAATCGAAACTATAATATGCAATCTGACGAGATCATGTTAACATTCACGCAATTATCAATAACGACCGAGGCATGCACGCTCCTGCGAATAATTTGCGCCCAGATGACAGTCTCGGGAGGGGAAGGAAGGAATAAAGAAGAAACCAACCATTCAAGCATTGCAGGGTTGCTGCTGAGTTGAGATGACATGTCTTAGATTTCACTAATTAATGCGGCCTTGTTACCGAAATTTCACGTTGCCTCACAGAAGAGCCAGAAGACAATGTCGGGTATGTCGTTCGCATGATAATGACAACACGATCGCTCCTCTATCCAGCGAGAAAAGGCGACGTTCGCCTCGTTTTGAGTCTCTACCTCTTTTCCAATAACCGCCACTTCTTTCAGTCTCTGACCATCGCGGGACTAGAAAGGTCACAATTATGGTGCAATTTGTTTGTGCTTACGTGCCAAATCGATTCGCTGATTTGAGGTTTAACAATTATTAACCAACAGCCAAAATAACAGATGACTTTGTCCGTCACAAAATGATTTTGAAGACAAACACTTTCTCATCGCATGTTGTCACATGTCATAGTATCTCAGGATACGCGTTTACATAAACACCAGTAAAGCACGCCTTTACAGGAATTTCATTGTATAAAACAGAATTAATTCACTATATTGTCTCTTTAAATCAACGGTAATTCAAGGCAAAAGTTGGAGAATCGGACAAGATTGCTGCTGATGTAAGCAGCTCACGTTTTCCCTACACTGCGTCCTTTATGGCCCGCAGCAAAATCATAATTGACAGAAACCACACGTCAGTTGACGTGGGATAATTATGTGTCTACCAGATGACAGAAGTGGGACGTCCCATCATGGAAACCCCTCCCCAAGAAGCAGTTTCTTCGTTAGTAATGTGCTATATGTCATAATTTAAAAAAAAAATGGAAAATACATGAGTTATTTAATTTTGTGCAAATCTCTCAAGATTGATTAGTTGTCATGCAGTACGTGCTAAAGTCCAATTCTGTCAGAACTTGACTATGGTACATACATTTAAATGGGAAATAATGCCTACTTTAGGCCACTGGAAGTTTCTTTTTTGTTTTACATTAAATTAGTCTATGTTTATTTGTTTTTTTTATTTGTTTGTTTTAGTTTTCTTTTCTACTCCTTAATCATAAATTTTGTGTTAACGTCTTGGGCATTAAAGGACACATTCAGCCTTCCATTGTTTTATGTCGAACTACAAGTAAGTTTTCCACATGGAAATCTATTTCAATTTCTCTGCCAACAAATCGGAGCTCTGCTCTTTCTCCGTTGTGCAGAAGCGGATGTTATTTGAAGTACGTGCCGCGAATTATAAGTTGAGCAATCAAGGATGCAGGCGACAATTATATCAATTGCGATTGAGGCTGTAATTGAATTACTAAACCCACATGGGACAATTTCAATCACGAGCCGCGGTGGGACTTGGTGCCTTTTTTCTTTTCATCTCCGAATGTTTTTAATTTTGCGACTAGTCTTTCTCCGCTAAGAAGTGATCAGAAGCGTTAACTCTTTTTAAGAGTGGCTTTGTGTTGGGGGAGGCATGAGGAGAATCACGTTTTAAAAGACAAAATAAATCTTTCAAACATACGCATCACCGATTCCTACAAGCAAAAAACTACAAACACTGTTACTGCACGATAAAAAAATGGTCAAAACTTCCACACGCTTCAATATCCTATCCGGCTTATCTACGGTGAGATTGCCCTACCGTATAAATGTGCTTTACGTTCATGGATTTCAAATAGGCAAGCCACATGTGACACAGAGAAAACCTCGCCTATTTCCCTACTCGGTCTTGGCAGAATGATATGCTGACCGTCCGACTTCAATCCCTGCTCGCCTGAATGTGTTTGTCATAAACATGCATGGACTAAGTTTAAGTGTTTGCAGGCTACGACTTCTGTTGAGTGAAACTTCAGGGCCTTAATTCTTAGTATACATTATTGCACGATGAGCGTGAATTCCCCAATCGGTGGAAAACTACGATGGGTTGATATGTTAGTGTAGAAAGACGCTCCTAGCTGTTATGTACATGGGGAAGCTGTTGAATGCTAACCCCAGGTCTGTGCTTTTAAATCAAAAGGTTACCGAGTCAGGTCACCGATTAATGAAGAAAGACGCACAATTTGTGGATACAAATTAACAATTTACCCGGAGCAAATTTTTTTTAATCAATTTTACATCCTGATATGACCTCTGCTATTTGAATTTTATGAACCAATCAAAGTGATATGTGGCCACCAGATATAGGATCTGTTTGACATCTGGCGACAAATCCGATCCGTTCCTCCGACAGAACGCCGTCTGGGTGCCCTATATAATCGCCAATACAATGTTTGGAGGGTCTGCAATTTACATTTCATTTCTTGGTAAGTTCTCTGCAGCTAGGGAGGGTAATTGTCAATGAAGCGGCCATTACATCCAAGATAAGGAACATTAGTCGCCTACATTGCCAGCACTCGACCTTTCGGGCGATTCAAGGGCCGTTACGGGCGAATTTGACAATGACACTTCATGCCTAGCTGGCTGCGAGCCGCTGCCTGATGGTGGGCAGCGCACGTGGATAAAGGTGCCGATTTCTTGTTAATCATTAAGCAGGGTTAGCCGTCGAGGAGCGTAATTGTTGGAGTTGTTTAGCTCAGGCGGCTGCTCACTTGATCGCTCATGCCGTGCTCACTATCTTCTGACGCTTAGTTTACTGAGATCGCTCCTTCTTTCATCCGGGGCCTATTTATTGATTCATGCCTACGTCCGCGAAGTTCAAGTAGTTGTTTGTTACAGAGGGCCTAATACGTTTATGGTTGAGGGTAAAGTGTTGACAAATTGGTCGTGCCTCCTTCGCTCTACATAATCACTTTTTTTGTAAATTCCCAACACGACGTGTAACTGTTCATGTACATGTACTCTGTCATATTAAATTTCGCAACTTTTTATAACTCGAGAGTGCTTGGCATAAAAGCCGCTTGCTTCAACCTCACTGGAATGTTGGCTCCGTCGAATGGATAGAGTGAAGTATAAATTTAGAGAGGTTATTGTTAGATACGAGGCTACCGTAGAAGTTTGAGACTAAAATGGCCTGAGTGATGGGTGTCAACATGAGTGATGCTGCATCGGTATCTTACAAATCACCCAAAAGAAAACGCACGAATCAGGCCCTGGCTTTGATAGGCTTCCTATCAGAGAAGCTCTCTGTGTTTATAAAGTCCCCTTTAAAGCGTCCGTTTTTGCCTCGTTAGGGAAACGTTGCCAATCCGTCACTCCGGCGCTTCGGGATCATTGCGGCACGCGCGCCCGTCAATACACCGCTTCACTCCGCTGGGCCCCAGACTGACCGCGACATATCTCGTTCTCATTACCGTTTGGAAACTCTCCCTTGTGTCAACCTCGCGACCCCCCACGCGCGCATGGCGGCGGAAGAAGGGCGCATAACTTTTGGACAAAGCAAACCAATCTGCCAGATACTCAACGACCTTGTCATACTTTCCAACTTCCATCTGGTTGCCTGGATTGCGCACATTCACACATTGCCGGAGTTCAAGACGATAAGGGAGAATGTACTTCGGATGTTTTGGGTCGAGCGTCAATATTAGTTCAACTGCACATAGGCTGCCGCCTCCGGTCCACGCTCAGCATTTCACTACGTGCGTACGAGAATCTCAAGCTAACGGGTGTCACCTGATCTGTCTCATGCCGTGTGGCAGGGCAAGGAGACCTCAATCTCGCTCGAGAGAGGATAAGAATTTCTTAAGCAGCAAATTTCTTCATTACTCTTCGCTGCAAATAGACACAACGATGACACGGAAATGTCTTGTTCAAAACCATCATCTTTCATAGCCTCTGGTGCTTACAGAACACCAGCAGCTCCCCACCACCAGGGTGGTCTGAAACAATATTACAATTATTATCAAGGGCTGTACAAACACGACTGCACGTATAAGTGCCGTGGGAATATTAATTTAGTAAAGCAGTAAGTGAACCAATGCGAGAAGTAACTAGGAGTGCATGTAGTAAGTTAAAGCTTGTCTCGGTACAGAAACTTTCCGTCGTTCACTCGCCCTATCAAGCGTTGCTAATTGTCATGTTAAGCCACAACGATTTCCCCCCATGCTGTCACGATGCCTGTCGCAATTTGTCTCGGTGATGTTGCAACAGAATCCAGGTCATCGAACAAGGCTTCGATTGCTTTGTCGAAAGTATTGGCCCGTGGACTTGGGAAAAAACAGCCATCCAAACGTTGACGATCCGTAACAGGGTCACTGACTAGAATACAGCCGACGAGACCGACTTCCTGGAAGATGATTGAAAAATATAAATCTTCCTCGCTTGGCGGTCTGTGGTTTTTATCGGGCGCGCACGTACACGTGAAAGGCTCCACTGCCGAGCTCATCGAGTTTGCACGGCAAACGAAATTGTTTCTTGATCTTTGACTGAAAGTTCAGCA